CGTCATATACAACACCAATTTACCATCAAAATGGATGAATGAATCATTCAGAGACTGGCTGTCTCAGTGTTCTTCGTAACCTTGGCAAACGACTGCCATTCAGGCAAATCGCCCTCAATTCACCAAAAAAGTATGCTGTCTCTAACGCTCTTCAGTTCATCCAAAATATGATCTTTAAAATTTATTCTCATTTTTTAACTATTTCGTTCGCACTATGCGGCAGCGAATCGAAGCCTTCATTAAGCCATAAATTTTAAAGCAGAAGCTGGACTTTTGAAATGCAGTGGTGCGGTGAGCATTTTACTGAAAATGAGTTTATTCATGCATAAATTCCTCTAAGCTAAAAAAAAATGATGCCCTTGTCTATTCGACCGCTCCAAGCAGCAAGAATTAGCGCAGAACACTCAGGACCAATGGAATCGCTGAGGCGAAAGTAGTATTAGGAAAACGAACGAAAGCGTACGGAAAGAACGAAGCATCTAGGAACTGGGCTGGAATTTTCGAACTATTTTTTGAAACTCTACTGGATTAGATGCTTGAAAACTCGATGCAGTGATAAATGATTTCTACACTCAGACTTGTAATAAGTACAAAACGAGGAAGCCTAAAGTGCTACTCAAAATGTCCCGAGGATTAAACAGCCTACAGTTCGCTCCTAATTCTACCGCCGGAAAAGAGAGCCACAAGGGGTTAGACAATCAGCGGATGACTCATCCCGGTAAAATGTTGACACTAAAGGATACTTCCGAGTGCTTTCTGCTTTTACAGGGTAAGAGAGAGAAAAGGGGTAGGACAAGAGCGGGGGAGGTGAAAGGGAAGAAGAAGGAAGGATGAAAGAAGAGAAGCACTGAGTTGAGTAAAACGTGTTCATTTCGAGAAACTTCGAATGTGCGCTGGGATTCAGTTGATAGCTTGTTTTACTTAACTATTTGTAGATACATGATATATACGTTCATACAGCCCAATAATCATAAAAAAAAATTATTCCACGATGCATGAGGTCCAATTTACGTATGTGTGTATATGCATGTGCGTATGTATATAACTGTGTGTGTATTATGTACATATGTATGTGTGCATATTATGTGCACATGCACGTACGTACTTATCAACTGTATGGACGTATATGTCATGTATGTGCATATGTTCTATAATAACAAGGAAAGCATTTACGACAGTGGCTTTATTCCATCCCGATAATACAGGTTTCTATCGCAGATTTACCGCACTATTTACAGCCACTAAGCACACAAATGTGTAATGTAAACGTGTGCAGATGCAGAAATGGAAAGCTATTGAAAGTAGGGATCTGTGACAAATCTGAGCAAAAGTTTGTGGAACTCGGCACTCAACAGGATTTTGAGCAATTGTAGTAAAATAGCGGTGCGAAGGGTAAAACGGCAAGAGCGAAACAGTGGAAGCAACGGGGGGAAGCGTTTCCAGTTTGCACCCTCCTCCCAACACCATCCATAGTCCGTACAGCAAACGGTCACTTCATTTTTGCAGCACTTCTACATCCGTTTCTTCATTTTTTCCTCATGCATTCCTTAATGCTCGTAAAAAGTCAGAACTCCCCCAATATTTCATTTTCGCCGAAAAGCATAGCTCAAAAGCACGAAAACGCAACCAACGTAAGCGCACGTGTTAAACAATAATGCAGAAGCTTTTCATGCTGTTAACGATCTAACTGCCTCAAGAATAACGCAAAAACGCATGGTCGCACAAGCACGCCTGGGTTTGTTATCTAGAAGTACTCGTACCCTTCTCAGCCTCCCTCCCCTGCGAAATTCATGTGAAACTTGCTAAATTTTTGTGCAGTCCTACATTAATTAAATTTTATGGGGGCGGATTTTGTATTCGTCCCAAAATGCATGTAGTAAAAGTCATTGTTCAAATGGCAGAATGGAATATAAAATATATAATTAGTGGCCAAGCAGCATCAGATCGAGCGCTGTAGCAGCGACAGGGCCTCAAGAGAATAGCTAACGATCCAAAGCCAATTTCCTTATGACAAAATTAAGAAAAAAAAGAGGAGCGTTGCTCCAAATTCGATTAAAATAGATTTAGTAGCTGAATCACAGGGTGAAACCATGATTTAGTAGCTGAATCACAGGTCTGAAGCAGTTTTAGAAGCAGATTCAAAATATTGTTGCGACCGCTAAAACGATAGCTACTGTGCACGTCTTCAGAATTAGGCAGGTAAAAAGAGTGAAAATGAAGTAAATCACATGAAAAAGCCTGTTATTTATGGATATTCTTAGCCAGGACAAGCAGTTTACAGATTAAAACTAAAGCTCCCAATTCTAACATCTAAAAAAGAAGTCTACACATGATTCAAAATGGTGGACGGTTTGCAACAGTAAGAGTACAAGCAGACAGACGAGGCGAAAATGGATAATATCCAAGACAACTAAGATTAAACGAACAACAGGTGTGATAAGCCGGTGTTACTGGGACCTATTCAGATTTCAATGAGACTATTTCCCTTTGATCCTAATTGTACCATAAATGTGTTTTGCGCAATTCCGTCCAGCTGACGCTTGCTGCTAAGAATTTTCACTGTTTTACACTTCGGTATGTGCAAAAACAGTCGATATGTTGTCTGGTTCCTAAGCTGTGAAATTTCCCACTAAAAATTTCACGGGGGCACATAAGACGTATTCGACCCAAATGTTTCATATTCGGCGTGAAGGCCGAATATGAAACATTTGGGTCGAACACGAGCGAAGGACATCCTTGCGAAATTTCGGCTTTTCACTTTCCTGGCTGAGTTAGTGACTTCCGCGCCAAAATTTTCATGTGTCCGTAAGTGAGATGCAGACGTAAATGAAAGCTGAAATCAAGTCTCTGAGGACGCAATTGGCCAGGGAATTCATTGGTGGAATTTTAGCATTTTAGCTTGCTCTGTTGCTGAGTTGAAGTACCAGGACAGGCGAACATAGAAACAGATATATATATACACACGCACACAAACATACATACATAAACACACGTACATACGCATGCAAGCATACACACACATAAATACATACATATGTAAGCAATAATAGGCATTTTTGCTGGCTGTTGCAGCACTTTAGTGCTGCACAGCAAAACCGCACAAAAACGAAAGATGAGAGGAAATGGAAAAGGAAGAAGAGGAGAATAAGTACCTGATTGGGTATGTCCACGGAAGCACCAAGGTGACAGAGTGTTTGAACGGCTGAAAGAAGTCCGATCCGTGCGGCAATGTGCAGTGCCGTGTCGCCATTCTAAAAGCACAATAGTTTACCGAATAATTACTCACAATCTGATGACTAGATAGAGGCCACTTAACGCTGTGTCATTTCTAGAACACACAACGTCCGATCCAGGACGTCGGAGTGGAAGAGCCACTACCTCAGCAGTCTCTCACCTACTGTACTCCCCACAATATACAATCATTTAACTACTCATGGGCTGCTTGCTTGCACTTAAATAGAATTCCTTAAATTCGCTGTGATTCATTTCTCATTCAGTGAAACACACACACATACGCACACGCATACACACGCACACTCATGCATACACACATGTATAAAAATGCTCGCACACACACATACATATGACACATACATTCAGACATAAGCATAAACATGCACAAAATATATAAC